TAGTGGGATTGACCGTCACATTATAATGCCCCCACGGCTGAAAGGGCGAGCATGTTTGATGTGACGGGGATTCGATCCCACGACCCGCAGATTGCAAGTCGAGTTCCCTAACCACCTGGCCCCATTATTTATGTATTGTAACAAATAAGCAGCCTAACTGGTAGTGTTGTAAAAACTGTTCATAAAACAAAAAGAAGATAACAACTTGACCTGAACAGTTTGTGTCTGTCAATATTAAGATGATGTCTCACTTAAAAGTTTATACATAGATTTTCCATAGGGTTCTAACCTTAGCTAGTCACATAAATACAGATATGTAAGTTAAAATCCTAACTGGATCACCATGAGGAGCATACACTTGTTTATAATTTATATACATGAGCAGAAACAATACAAAGTCAAACTAATATTTTCTAAAAACTAAAACACAAGAACTGACAACAAGTAACATGTTTTAATAAGGGTGTGAAGTTTACTGTATTTGTACTAGGCACAGCCTTATGCACAGTTTGCTTCAATGTACAACTTACCTTTAGTACTGGTTGTAACTTCAGGCTTAGGTTGTTTTTCAGTCTGAAGTGGTTTCGAATTTGTTGTGTCTGTCAGCAGCGATGATCTGCTAATCTTAAAAACAAAAAGCATGAAATCAGTATTTGTTTAAGTGTGAAAAACACTGTTGAATGATACACGTAATCAAAGCAGTTATTTAACAAGAGCAATCAGAGAGATTGCATACCCTTGCCCTGCCACTCCTTTTCGAAATTACGAGTATATATTGGATAATGTAAAATTTCACCTTCGAAAACTCAGAAAATCCTTATCAGATCCAGAACGATCAATGATCTGGATCTTTTTTTTCGTGTGATGAGGAGTTTCAACCTTAATGTGCCCAAAACCACGAAAATTTACCTATCTCCTCATTATAAAAAAAAATGTTTCAAAGTGATCCAGAATTGGATTTGGATCTGGACCAAATTTGGGGAGAATTGTTCCATACTAAGTTCCCATCTTGTGTAAAGTTTTCATGTACATCGGTCTATTGGTTTTCAAGATGCACATGCAGAAACACACACACACACAGACCCGACTGCAATACACTCGCAAGGCGAGGATAATAAATGCAAAACAAAGTGAATCTTGAAAATTTTAAAAGCACCTACTTCATTTATTGTGATAGTTTGCTTTCTTTTTTTTATTCTTGTAAACTCCCTAGTGGAGCATAGGGCCGCAACAACACCTCGCCAACAAAAGGTGTTGTTGCAGTTACTTGTAGCAGGTTGGTTTTTACAGGGTGGAGTTGCTAGCCCCGCGCCCAACCCTCCCCCTTTCTCATCCTGGACTTGGGACCAGACAAAGGCGGAGGTTGGCATGTTTGGTGTGAC